TATTTAAGAAAATCTTACTAGTACCTTTCTTTTATTTCTTTTCATCTTCTCTATAATTTTCTCTACAATAGACTTCTTTATTTTTTTATAGAAGCTAGCTTACTGCCTTTACTTTCCATGAAGTTAACAATCTAGCAGTGATGGTTAGAACTTGATGATATTCTTCATTGCTCTCTAGTGTAGGTTCTATATTTACATGATTAGAAACAATGCTCTTAGAATCTGATCGATTTATAAGTTTCCCCAATGCATTTTTAATGCAATTAACTAAAAATTCATAATTTCCTTCAGATTCAACTCCAACTTTTACAACTTTGTAAAATTGAGAACACAACTCATTATATCTCAATTTTTTCTCATTAGATTTAAAATTATCATAGCAATTCTTAATGAAAGTGTGCCTATGTTTGATATCTGTCCTCCAACAATCTAAAATATATTGACACAAAACTTTTTTCACATTTTTATCAATTAGCACCTTCACCACATGTGTACAAAGAATTCCTTTGAACTCAAACATATAGCAAGAGCATTTAATATCAAAAATCATTCTCATTGAAACTAACATGATAAACCACATGCTTTTGGAACTTGCCATCTTTTCGTCTTAAAATGTCCCTCGCAAGGAATTTCGATACTAACCCATCAATGGAATTAAATTCTAAATTACTATAAGCTAAGTCTCTTATCTTAGATTGAAACAATTTAAAGATGTCATTGATCTAAGCCTCCTAAAATTGCTTTTCAAAATCAAAACTAGTCATCAAAGCAATACTTGAATTAAAGGAAGCAAAATCTTACTTGTTCTGATTTTCAATCTTACTTTTCAAAACATTATCATATTGTTCTACAAATTGTTTCAAAGAAGTTTTATGATCCACATAACCCTTAAGAAAAGCATTTATACCTTCACTTCTTTGAATAGTAGACCTCTTAGCCCAAAAAATATTTTTTATATATATTGGTACCCAATAATGTCGATCATCGTATATAGAATTCAACCACTCATTTCTAGAGTATACTCCTTAATTAATGTTCTCTATATTTCTTCAAATTCAATAATTTACTTAGACTCATAAACAGCACTTTTTAAGATTTTCTTCACTTTCTTATATTCAACCAATCCTCCAAGTTTTTTTGGAATCTTTCTCATAATGTGCTAGAGACAAAATCAATGATGAGAATGCAAAAATACTTTTGCAACTACATATCTAATAGCCTTACATTAATCTGTAATAATTGCTCTTGAATAATGACCAGACATACACTCCAATGATGAGTTAAACAACCAAATATAAGTATATGTATCTTCATGTGATAACAAAGCACGTCCAAGTAGAATGGTTGGTCCATAATGATTCACACCAACAAACAATGTAATGGCATGTCATATCTATTAGTTAGGTATGTAGTGTTAAATGATATAACATCACCAAATGATTTGTACATTGTTATTGATCTTGGATCAACACAGAATACATTTCTTAAACGACCTTCTTCATCCATATCAATAACATAAAAGAAATTGGGATTTCTTTTATGTAGGGCTTGGTTAGATCTGCATCTTACCTTTTGCTTGGAACAAGTAAAGATAAGAAGTACGCTCAACCAAGGGAGCACTCTTCTACGGCTTCGTTTCTTCTTTTACGCCCTAAGGATTCGCCAGCCATGCCTTTCAACTTTATATACGCAATCACATGTTCTAAACTACCCTAACTGTCTTATAAAGCAGCCCAACACACACACACACACTCTCTCTCGCTCTCTCTCTCTCTCAACTCGTTATAAAAAGGTTAAAACCCATTTTGGTCCCTAAACTATTATATAGACCCCTGATTTGATCTCTAAACTGAAAAAATCCCTGATTTGGTCTTTATTGTTTACTATTTTTACTCTAATTTGGTCATTCCGTTAAAAATCTACCCACGTGTCCATTGACTAATAGAAACCTAATGTACACGTTAAAACATTATGTCCATGTGCAAAGCCAGCTAGCAAAAACAAATAATGATTTGACAATAAAAATTTTAAAAATTCTTTCTCCTTTATCTTTCCCTTTCTCTTTCCTATTCCTTTCTTCGCCTTCTTCATCAATCAATTCTTCTTCTTCATCAATCAGTTCTTCATCACCCTCATCAAACAACACCCTCAATAAACAACACTTACAAAAACACAATTTTTTTTTTAAATTTTTTGTCGAAGAACTCAGTGCCTGGGTTCGATAAACTCAACGTTGGGTTCATCGAGTTCCAAGGAACCTAATGCCTCTGTTCATTGAACCCAACGTTGGGTTCCAAGGAACCCAAGGCCTGGGTTCGGACGAACCCAGAGCTGGGTTCCAAGGAACCTGGAGCTTGGGTTCGAAGGAACCTAAAGCTTGGGTTCTATTGAACCCAGGTGTTGGGTTCCAAGGAACCTCGAGCCTGGGTTCGATGAGCCCAACGCTTGGATTCGTCCGAACTCAAAGCCGAGTTCCAAGGAACCCTGAACCTAGGTTCGATGAACCCAGCCTCGGGTTCCAAGGAACCTAGGCATTGGGTTCAATCAAACCCAGCTCTGGGTTCCAGACCCTAAGGGAAAGAAAAAGGAAGGAGAAGAAAAAAAAAATTTTTAAGTTTTTTTGTTATATTATTATTTTTTTTCCATGTCACTATTTTTTGCTATGTTATTTTCCACGTAGGATAATATTTTGATATGTCATCATTTTACTGTAAATTAACGATACACGTCATGAGATTTTTAACAGAATGACCAACTTGAGGTAAAATAGTAAATAATTGGAATTAAATCAAAAAATTTTTTAGTTTAGGGATCAAATCAAATATCCGTACAATAATTTAAGGACCAAAATAAAATTTTAACCTTATAAAAACAAGGGAATATTCTGACATATAACAATTATATATTTATTAAAAAAAAGTAGGTATTAGTGTATATTATAAAAAAATTAGATAAAAAATTTTAAAATTATATTATTTTAGTAAAATTTTATTTAAAAATTTAAAATATTTTAAGGACCAAAATAAAATTTTAACCTTATAAA